GCTTAGGGCCGGTGTCGGGAAGGAATGAAGGCTGCAGCACTCGTTGTATGAGGTCCCTGCTTAGGGCCAGTATCAGGAAGGAATGATGGCTGCAGCACTCGTTGTATGAGGGCCCCGCTTAGGGCCGGTGTCGGGAAGGAATGAAGGCTGCAGCACTCGTTGTATGAGGTCCCTGCTTAGGGCCGGTGTCGGGAAGGAATGATGGCTGCAGCACTCGTTGTATGAGGGCCCCGCTTAGGGCCGGTGTCGGGAAGGAATGAAGGCTGCAGCACTCTCTGTGTATGAGGGCCCCGCTTAGGGCCAGTGTTGGGAAGGGTGAGGGCTGCAGAACTCTCTGTGTATGAGGGCCCCGCTTAGGGCCAGTATCAGGAAGGAATGAAGGCTGCAGCACTCTGTGTATGAGGGCCCCGCTTAGGGCCAGTATCAGGAAGGAATGAAGGCTGCAGCACTCTGTGTATGAGGGCCCCGCTTAGGGCCAGTATCAGGAAGGAATGAAGGCTGCAGCACTCTCTGTGTATGAGGGCCCCGCTTAGGGCCAGTGTTGGGAAGGAATGAAGGCTGCAGCACTCTCTGTGTATGAGGGCCCAGCTTAGGGCCAGTGTTGGGAAGGGTGAGGGCTGCAGTGGCAGGAGATGCTCTATTCTGAAGGTTGCTGCAGCGTGAATAGCAGGGGAAGGCTTTGTGGAGCCTCCATTATATGTGCATTACACTCCTCCCTATTATGAGGCCAGAGTCCAACTGTCTTTCATTTGGAGCCAAATCCCTGTGTCCCTCGCTCCCCATTGGTTGTCCAGTATATAGACCTCTATCATGTACTATTTAACTGTCAAAATGGTTCTACTGCACCAAACCTTCCATCCAAACTCTAAATAAATGAATACTGATGGCATATCAATGTAATTGACCTTTTAGACCTTTTCCCAGTGGCTTCTACACGTCCCCTAATGATTGCATGGAGTCAGCTCCTCTTCAGGGTTATTATATGGATGCAGGCAATGAGATGTCGGCCTGCAGTCCATAACAGGAGCTAGCGGCCTAGGGGGACAACATTGCTCCTCTACAGGTGTGCATTGAGTGAGTGTTGTCACCTTAGGACAGGAAGTGTGTTCCTGGTGGGATCACAGGTGAAAATAATACAATAATCTCATGTGTTCTCCAGCAAATGTACAGTCCCGGCCTAAAAGCTTCCCGTCTGTTCTTCTAACTCCATCAGCATGAGAGAGCGGTCTCCAGCCTTGTCCTCGTCAGCACTGACACCTGCGTTACCGAGAGAATCACCGCCATGATGTCAGCTGCTCCTCCTGTGGCTGAAATGCAGGATATGTTTTGGGGGATGAAGTTCATCTTCATGGCAAAGAGATCCGATGGCTCTTCATAGAATATGCAAATTGTCATCATACAAACTGAAGCAGCATTAAAGGAGAACTATGGGGTTAGGGCTTTTCCCCCATAGTTCTCCTTAGGGTAACGGGAGGATACAAACTAGCGTCCTCCCGTCACCCTAGGCTCAGTATATAGGGGGCCACAGCTCGCGGTATACTGAGACGCCGCAGCCGGAGCGGATCCCGACTTAGATGACGGGATCCGCCCAGCTGCATGACTGACAGCTGGCTCCTCCTATCTAGAGGCAGAGCCAACTGTACCCGCCCCTTCCCCCGTCCGTTCCTCCAGTCAGCGCTGGCGGATCGGAGCGGGGAGGGGGGAATCCAGCCCCTCCCCCTGTCACGGCAGAGAGCAGTGACAGGATTGAGAAGTGAGCGAACGCCGGTATGTGTTCCCTCACCTCCCGATCTACTGAGCCGACCTGTGACAGTCTCATTGTCACATGTCGGCTCCAACTATGAGGTGAGTGAAAAGCACCCCCCCCCTCATAGTTCTCCTTTAATATTTGTGTCATTGTCAAAACTTTGTATCCAGGACTTTATAATGTAACGTCTGTACATTGCTGACATGCGTCTGTAGATCTGCGTTATTCAGCATGTCAATCACATCGATACAATGTATCCAGCAGAGTTATGGATGGGTGAAATCATTGACCATCATTTGCCCCTTGAAGTCGGTGCTGTAGGTCCGGGCCTCTCCCCCAGCTGTGTGTTGGTTCCCCCGGCAGTAGAAGGGTTAAGTGTTTGATCAGACGGCGCGTGCAGTGTTAATAACAGGCGCGGTGGGAGGGGTCACGTCTTATAAACATCTTGTATATTTGGCCCTCCCAGGCCCGGTTCTGCCAGGAATCTATACGTCTTGGAAGGCAGCGCGGCTCTTGAAGAGCACATCAAAGTCCCGCCGAGCCGTGAGCTGTCTGAGCGCGTTGTTGTCATAAAACATATCGCGGACGTTTACCCGTAAAGCCCCGCGCAGTTTACAGTACCCGGGCGCTGTGAATTTCTCACGCCGTGCCAGACGAATGCGTTCGTAGCGGCCCGAGGCGCACAAGACGTCTTGCGTCTGTCGGCTCAACTCTCCCTCAACTTTGTCACTTCATCGAGAGAGATCCGTTCCAGCAGGAGCATCGCTTCGACGCCGCGCCTTATCTCTGCCGCTCACCATATCTGTTTATAACAGGTCAGAACCCGAGCGCTCTGCGTTTCCAGGCTCAGCTGTTATGGAGCCGCTCCGCGCAATGCGTCCCGGTCTTCATCGCCGTTTATAAAGACACTTTACACCCCTCACGACCAAATTCATTATTTTAAATGGAGGGCAGAGGAACTTTCCCCGGGATGGCGCCATTTTAGATCTATGCCTGGTGGTCGTGTGCGGCACTTTGCGTCTTGCAGTGCCGTTCGTTTAGGTTAGCACATACGCTGCATCAGGCCACAACGCACGTCGCTGCATTAAATACATGTCTGTTTTTAGAGGTGCCGCTGTGCGTTGGCAGCGGATTCAAAATGAATGGAGTGCATTAGCACATAAAACATTGCCAATTCACATGCGTTCAGCGACGGGAATTCATGGTTTTCTCAGCTTTGACTCCATTTGGTCAATCGGTTTTCTTTTATAAAGGAGGAGAGCGGGGGCCCCCTTAATGGCAGCCACAGGTGTGCGGACCCCAATAACGTCGCCCCAGAGGCAGGAGAAGCCTGGCGGTGGTAAAGAACTCTACTGCAAGAGGGCAGCAAAATATACAGCTGAATGTATGAGAACTGTGAGTTGCAGGTCCTATGATCTGTACTCCGGGAGGGATGACACCGGTGTGCGCGCTGCACTTCATAAATAATCTGAGCCGACCTGTGACAATGAGACTGTCACAGGTCGGCTCTATCGATCGGGAAGTGAGCTAACACATACCGGCGCTCGCTCACTTCCCGATCATGTCCCTGCAGAGACCCGTGACTGTCACTCACCACTCCATGCAGGGATTCCCCTACTCCCCTGTCCGATACTCCAGCGCTGACTGACGTGACGGACGGGAAAGGGGGCGGGTACAGCTGGCTCTGTCTCTAGATAGGCAGAGCCAACTGTCAATCACGCAGCTGGGTGGATCTCGACAGTAATGTCGGGATCCGTCCCGCCTGCGGCGGTCTCAGTATACCGCGAGCTGTAGCTCTCTATATACTGAGCTTAGGGTGACGGGAGGACGCTAGTTTGTGTCCTCCCGTTACCCTAAGGAGAACTATGGGGAAAAGCCCTGACCTCATAGTTCTCCTTTAATTGTTGATGGATCCTGGACCTGCTGCAATGGGCCCGGGTCCAGTCTACTGTATGCTTTGTGCTCTGGTTCTGTCCAGTCTGTAATATCTGTTCCGTCCTTTGTACTGAGCACTTCAGGGGGACTGGCATGAGTCAGCATTGTGTGTACACAGATCAAAGGGCAGGGGAGAGCCTTCCATTAATATCTTTATTACCCCTCACTTCCCATATTTGTGTACTTTCCTTCCTCCGGCCACATCAAGGAGACGCTGAGAGCTCATTGTGTGCCGCCGATGTCCCACCACCTCCGCCGCCGTACCCAGGAGACCTTCTGTATTATATATAGTGCGAGGATAGAGCTTCCATATGTCGTCTATTATTACTCACAGGACACCCCCTGTATTATTCACATACACAGATAGACCCTCAATATGTTATATAGCACCAAATATGTTCTATATCCCCCCCCACACACACACACACACAGGACACCCCTGTATTATTCACATACACAGATAGAGATGTATAGATGTATTATATATCATAGTACAGCGATAGGAAATATATGACTATGCGCAGCAGACCCCTCCGTGCTTCTCATTATATAGACAGGCTCAGTGATCGGTGGTATATAGGGACAGTACAGAGAACCGATCAGACAGTATTGTCTCTTCTATTGTCTAATATAAAATGAATCAATGTGATCAGAGCGGATGTATCCCAGAATCCTCTTGTGATGGTACCATTGCATACGGACCCGTCTCTTTCATGGGACATCCTGACCCCCATTGTATGATTTCCCCCGGATCAGACCCCTCCAATACTGGCAGCCTTCAGCCTTCCACGTTTCAGAGGAATAATTAGCAGGTGTGCGACATGTGTTCCTCAGATCCGGGGAAGGAAATTTACTGCCCACATACCACACCTGAGAGCTTATTAACCTCCATATAGCAAACTGCAGAGACCCTCCTGGCAGCTATAAATCCCCCTAATCGGAACCATGCGCAGTGTACTCTGCAATGGGATCAGATATGAGGACTGGGTGAAGGAATGGCATGTATCACGCATACTTCCTGTGTCTTCCAGCCGCCATGATTGTTCTGCAGCTGTCATTGACTCATAACCCCCGGCTCCTCTGTCATTCACATCTTCTGCTCAGACGTGTGTGAATAGGGGCGAGCTGCTGCCATTTTCATCTAAATTGGGTCCTTTGGGTCTAGGAATAATCTTGTATGAGTCAGGGATCTTACAGAGGCCTCCACATCTGGCTCATGGCGGCCATGATTCTAAGACGGGGAGCTTCAAGATTCTCATTCTGTGACTGCGCACAGGCCAGGGGTGGGAGCCCTGAGGAAGTGAGGTCATTGTCCTACGAAACGCGTTGACTCATTGGAAGGGTGGCGCTGTCTACTCTCTGGGGTCAGACTCTTGAAATAAACCGATTGTAGAGAGAAGGATTCCGGGACATCTTGTTGGTGTTCTTCATGGGTAGAATCGCGATACATCTGGGGAAAGATCATTGTAAGGTAGTGAAATGAATACGATCAATGATATTGATTGATGAGGAGTCCACAAGAGGATTTGGGCTTGAGGACGGGTCAGTTTCTGCTCCTTCCCCAACCAATACAATACCTCACCTCGATCTTCTCGGCTTCCCCTCTTCTACACTCAGCCACCATCTTTGCTGGGCCCCTTTTTCCTGCCAGTACCCCCCTTCTTGTATGTCTGGTACCAGGCCAAGCTGTCCGAGGGCCAGGCAGGGCTCAGACACACATATGTATTATTGATCCGGCCAGTACCCCCCTTCTTGTATGTCTGGTACCAGGCCAAGCGGTCCGAGGGCCAGGCAGGGCTCAGACACACATATGTATTATTGATCCGGCCAGTACCCCCCTTCTTGTATGTCTGGTACCAGGCCAAGCGGTCCGAGGGCCAGGCAGGGCTCAGACACACATATGTATAATTTCTTGTTGCACTTTCAGTACATGGTGTTTGTCTTCCTGTTGCGAGTGACACGTGTGATATTCTCTTTGTACAAACATCTGTTTCAATGCAAATGATTAGAAATGAGTTCTCTCAGGTCCTCGGTGCATGTGCAGAATGTTTATCTGGCTCCTCCGGCGTGTTCCGCATTGAATGGAGGAAGTGAGTCGGTGTGTCGCCTGTAGAGGATACTCGTGTTTACTCCTGGATGCGTCCAGCTGCCATTGTTTGCCCAGGAAGCAGCGATTAGCCAGGGTCAGGTGCAGCTCCGCCATTATCTAATATCCCTGACTGATTTACAGCGGCTCTTGTCTTTTATTAAGGCCTCTCGGACATCAAACAAGCCGGAGAGGCCATAAATGTGACCGTTTGATGAAGTCTCCTAATCTCTGCAGCCAGGAACCGAGGCACTAAATGACTTTACAAGGCGAGGAAACACCTGCACCAGGCCTGATAACTTCCAGGCCTAAACAGAGTCCCGGCATCTGCCTGCGCGTAAACAGGCAGGACACCGCCAGGCACACCGGGATGGGCACATATTACTTCCTGACATTCGTCTCGGATCCGAAGTCTTGCTGATTATAGAGAGTATCTTTTATACTTCTGTGGGGGGCGAACTACGTTTGGCTATTCCGGATCAGTACGGCCGTACTTGGGTCAGCCGAACATGTTCCGCTCACTCGCTGCCGTTCGGCCGTATTCTCATAGGGGCTGAATGGCAGTAAGTGAATAGCGGCATTCGGCTCGGTTTTTCTCCTCGCTTCCTCCGAGGTAGTGAGCAGAATGGAAAAGAAGTTAAGAGAAGGTAAAAAAAATAAACAAAACCGTCGCCAAATTATTTAAAAAAATTAAAACAAATAAGAAATGTAAAAAAAATTATACAAATATTTTTTTTTTAAACGTGGAAAAAAAACAATTGGGCGGAGCTAGCAGTGACAGCTAGCTCCGCCCAACTGTTTCCTATTGGCCGTCACCTGCTAGAGTCCTCTAGCACAGGGCTAGCCAAACTGCGGCCCTCCAGCTGTGGTGGAACTATGAATCCCATGAGGCTTCGCAAGATTCTCACAGCCACGACTCCCGGAGATAGATGCTTCGTGGGATTTGTAGTTTCACCCCACAGCTGGAGGGCCCGGAGTTTGGCCATCCCACGGCTGCTGTACGGGCTATTGCGTGCGTGCAGTCGAACCGAAGGGCTCCGGCGGCCGAAGAGAGCCGAAGGGTCAGACGAAGCTACGGCTCACTGGTTATTTTTTGTGTATGGGGATCTGTCGCAGATCTTGTCCACTATGCTGGGGAATGTTTACATACAACACCCCGGCCTGTGTTGGCATCTTGTTGGGTTCTTGAGCTGTACGGAGCCCATCCAGGCACCACTAATGGGAATCCTGGTTGGCAGGGGCAGCATACATCTGTCTCCTGTCCTCTGTAATACGTATGAGACGATGACTCTGCCAATCACACCTCTGACTATGTGCGGAGTTCCTCCTCATAGCTGGCGGAGATGAATGGCCGGTCTGACGTTTGATGGCGCTCCGGTTTCTTGTTGATTTGGGACGGGAAGCGGTCCGGCGCCTTTCATCCTCGGCGCTCCCCATTGTTTTACCATTTCGTGTCTCATTAACCAAACCCGACGCCGCTGAACTTTCCTCGCCGTCCAAAGCGCCTCGGCCTGCG